CACAACTTTACTCCAGTAAAAGTACTCTTACTCTGTACTGTGTAAGTACTGTTACTTCAATCAAAACATTAAGGAAATGTCCCTCTGTCCTTCACACTGTCCCAGAGCAGCAGACAGGGACTCACCTGACAGGAGCAGCAGACAGGGACTCACCTGGCAGGAGCAGCAGACAGGGACTCACCTGACAGGAGCAGCAGACAGGGACTCACCTGGCAGGAGCAGGAGTAGCAGGGACACCAGGCGGGTGGTGGATCTGAACATTTCTGCTCAAACTCAGAGTGTAAAAAAGTGAACCTCTGTGTGAACCGTCGTCTCCTTTTATTTGTTTCTTACTTCCTGTTTTTGGTCCCGTCTCGTTTTTCTGTTTTCATCAAAGTGCAGAAACTCTGAAACTCTGAAACTCTGAAACTCTGAAACTCTGAAACTCTGAAACTGTCTCCATCCACACGACACGATAAAACCACCAGATAAACTTTTCTGCTCAGAATCTAAAGGGACGACACTGGACGTTTGAGTCAGACTGAGACGTTTGTGTGGAGGCTGTGGATCTTCTGAGTCACTTCCTCTGATCTTTACACATAAAACTGACACAGAATCTGATTTAGAAACATTCTCCGTCCGTCCAAATCAGTTGATCTGCACACGTGTCCCAGAGACGAGACAAACACCAGCCAATCAGAGACGACTTTACTGACAACAAGTGAGACGCTGATTCATTCTAAAGTTAAACACACAAACACTGGACACGACCTCATTTATTTAAAATTATTTATTTATTTAGAATTTGGTGTTTTGGTTCAAGACGATTGTCCAATCAGAAAGCAGCGCTGAAAAACTAAATCCTGTTGGTTTAGACTTAAAATGTCTCTGATCTGAACGTTCTCTAAACTCCAGCACCTGCACTGGTCCTGACTCAGTGCTAGTTCAGCCTCTGCAGCTCAGTGCAGCTGTTTTCAGGTCAGAACAGAGTCAGTGTCTGTGTCGGTTCCTGCACCAGTTCCACTGGGAACCAAAGTTCTCACAGTGAACGAGCCGAGTTTAAAGTGTTTAAGTGAAACATGATGCTTCAGTGACAGAGGATTTACCTCCAAATAAAAACTCTGGAGACTCTGAGGTGTTTGTTGGAGCTTTTTAAGAGCTCACGGCTCCTTTGACCGTCCAGTGTCTGAATATTTGAACAGCACAACACAGTTTGGGCTTGAGATTTGAACACAGATAAAACTGCAGTTGTAATGTTCCACAGAGTCACTGTGTATTTTAAGAAAAGAGAATTAGAGTTTGAGAAACAATCTGAGTGGTGAAACATGTCTGTGACTGAGTATAGATTTTTATATCACTTTAACAGCTTCACACTTCAAGCGTCGCCCTTGAGCCGACCACACACTTCCCCTTTAATCCTGTCACGTATTTCACGGCCAAAAGAATCGTCTGTAAAATGTAATTCATCAAAAAATCATTTCACAAGTTCAGAGAAATCTCCAGGTCCACACACGACGTCAACACGAACCAAAGCTGCAGGAACCTCCACTCCTCATCAAACTTTTAAGACCAGAATTCACATTTTGTTCTGTTGGATCTTCAGAAGGTTCCAAGTCGAGCTTCAAAATGTAAAAAGAAGAAATGGGAGTGAGACAAGAAACACATTTGAGTAAATAATTTATTACATCAATTAAGACCAGAGCCTTTAAAAGAACAAAACTTTGTAAAAATGTGGATTCAGTGTGATTTTCTGTCAGGTCTCCACACGGTCACGACCTCCTGATGACAAAAACAAAAAAGTTTTCTGTCTTTAAACGCGGTCGGATTGTTGAGCTGCATGAGCCTCTCGCAGCTGCAGCTCGACGCACAAACACAGTCATTTTAAACTTCTGAAAAGATCCTGAGGGTCATGAGAAAAAAGTCAAGTGTTAGACCCAAAAAACTGTCACAGCCCTGAGCCGGAGGATCCAGTCGGCCGTCGGTCGACACACGGGTCGATCCTCGGCCCAAATGAAGCTGGTCACTGGTGCCGACTGCAGAACCATCACCAGACGACATCTGCCAGAGAAGAGTTTAAGAACTAAAAACGTCTTCAAAGATCTCGACTCCTTCAACGACTCAGAATGACCCGTCTGGAGTTTGTACAAGACCAAACATGAGACACTGAAATGTGGAAGAAAGATTTATTGTCTGATGAGAAAAAATGTGACCTGAACACTAGACCTGTGACGATAACAGATTTAACTGGACGATTAATTGACCAAGAATTTATTGTGATAAACGAGAATATTGACATTTTGAGACCAATTTCAACTCATATAAAGACCATGGAATAAAAATGCAAATACACCATTTCAAAGATCAATAAACTTGACTTTCTAAAGAACATTTAACACAGGAACTGTAAGACAAACAAAAACAACAGAAAGAAAATAAATAAAACAGACGTGTGAACAGAAGAACAGCCTCATGTGTCTGATTTACAGCGAGGACTTGTTCACAAAAATACACTTGAATAAACCAATGTTGAACCAAACACAACCAAAACTATAAATAAACGGATTATTAAGTCTCTCTAACAAAATGTTAGTCACTGACTTCCGCTGGAATATTGTGTCTTGTCTCTTGCTGCTGTGGCCTCGTCATTTTGGTCTTGAAGTTTTTGTATGAACTCGTGACACATGATCCTGTTTGGTTCGGAGTCGTGTCTGGTGTCGTGTCGGTGTTTTGTGGGATTTCAGTGGATTTCGAGCTCTTTCGGGGCTGGTTGTGTGGATCGGGTTTGGGTTTACGTCGGCTGCTCGGGTTTGAGACATTTCCTCATGTCACCAGATCCCAGTGTGGATCGGGCGATGACCGGAAGTCCGAGATTCTTGACGCGTCTATAGCGACAGCGTTAACTCGTTATGAAATTAACAACTGACATTTCAAATAAACTAACAAACTAAACACACATTCACACTCAATATAAACAACACTCACCCTGCATGAACGCACACGGCACATTTACACACACATAAAAAGACACAGGCAACTCGGGACCAGCACGAGGCTCCTCTACTTTTGGGACCCGAGTGTACCGGAACTACAGACAGGTGCATTATGGGTACCGTAGTCCCAGACATATGGGACTTTTAACACCAGCACTAAATGCACAGTTTTATCTGCAGACTGAACAAATCGGACAATAAAATAATAAAGTGACTCACAAATGTGAGACTCAGAGCAACAAGTTCAGTCCAACGTGAAGAGACTCTGGTACATCTGTCTTTAAAAACATCAAGATTTTTTGTTGTTCTGTTTTGTCACTGTCCTTGTCGGTTTTAAAAATGGACCATGATGATGAATTGATGATGATGTTGATGATGTTGATGATGTTGATGTTGATGTTGATGATGTTGATGATGTTGATGATGTTGATGATGTTGATGATGTTTGATGATGTTGATGATGTTGATGATGTTGATGTTGATGATGATGTTGATGATGTTGATGATGTTTGATGTTGATGTTGATGATGTTGATGATGTTGATGTTGATGATGTTGATGATGTTGATGTTGATGTTGATGATGTTGATGTTGATGTTGATGATGTTGATGTTGATGATGTTGATGTGATGTTGATGATGTTGATGATGATGATGATGTTGATGATGTTGATGATGTTGATGTTGATGATGTTGATGATGTTGATGATGTTGATGATGTTGATGTTGATGATTGATGATGTTGATGATGTTGATGTTGATGATGTTGATGTTGATGCTGATGATGTGATGATGTTGATGATGTTGATGATGTTGATGATGTTGATGTTGATGTTGATGATGATTTGATGATTGTTGATGATGTTGATGTGATGATGTTGATGATGATGTTGATGATGATGATGATGTTGATGATGTTGATGATGTTGATGATGATGATGATGTTGATGATGTTGATGTTGATGTTGATGATGTTGATGATGATTGATGTTGATGATGTTGATGTTGATGATGTTGATGATGTTGATGATGTTGATGATGTTGATGTTGATGATGTTGATGATGTTGATGTTGATGATGTTGATGTTGATGATGTTGATGTTGATGTTGATGATGTTTGATGTGATGTTGATGTTGATGTTGATGATGTTGATGATGTTGATGATGTTGATGATGTTGATGTTGATGATGTTGATGTTGATGATGTGATGATGTTGATGATGTTGATGTTGATGATGTTGATGATGTTGATGATGTTGATGTTGATGTTGATGATGATGTTGATGTTGATGTTGATGTTGATGTTGATGTTGATGATGTTGATGATGATGTTGATGTTGATGTTGATGATGTTGATGATGTTGATGATGTTGATGTTGATGATTGATGATGTTGATGTTGATGTTGATGATGTTGATGATGTTGATGATGTTGATGATGATGATGATGATGTTGATGATGTTGATGCTGATGATGTTTGATGTTGATGATGTTGATGATGATGTTGATGATGTTGATGTTGATGATGATGATGTTGATGATGTTGATGTTGATGTTGATGATGTTGATGATGTTGATGATGATGATGATGTTGATGTGATGATGTGATGATGATGTTGATGATGTTGATGCTGATGATGTTGATGATGTTGATGTGATGATGTTGATGATGTTGATGTTGATGATGTTGATGTTGATGTTGATGATGATGTTGATGTTGATGTTGATGTTGATGTTTGATGATGATGTTGATGTTGATGTTGATGATGTTGATGTTGATGATGTTGATGATGTTGATGATGTTGATGATGTTGATGATGTTGATGTTGATGATGATGATGTTGATGATGTTGATGATGATGATGTTGATGATGTTGATGATGTTGATGATGTTGATGTTGATGTTGATGTTGATGATGATGTTGATGATGTTGATGATGTTGATGTTGATGTTGATGATGTTGATGATGTTGATGATGTTGATGATGTTGATGATGTTGATGTTGATGATGTTGATGATGTTGATGTGATGATGTTGATGATGTTGATGATGATGATGTTGATGTTGATGATGTTGATGATGTTGATGTTGATGTTGATGATGTTGATGATGTTGATGATGTTGATGTCCTCCGGGTTCTTTAAACTCGCTCAGTGTCATTTTGCACGAGGTTTGTTTTGTTTGACGGAGGCGTACAGGACGTTTGGGTCACACTCTGGAGAAAAGGCCCTCACGGAGCTGTAGGTCACGTCGTCGTTTCTGCTCTCGCGACTCTGAAACAAAAACAAAAGCTGAGCCCGCGCCGCCTCCTCAGACACCAGGTCGTGGGTTAGATTCTCCTCCAGCCTCACCTCACGTCTCTTCTTTTTCTTGACGTTATTGAAATCAGCGGTGACATAAGTGACGGCGTCTTCAGGTTTTTGCTACAAGAGAAAAAAATGAAGAAACATCCAGATCAGTTTGAGACGCTCTGAAAACCAGAAAAATACCAAATGGATTTTAACACATTTTCAGGGTCCGTTTACGACTCGTTCGTTCGAAAATATTTTTTTCGATTTAGTGTCAAACAAAAAACAGATTTCGACCTTTATTTCCAATCCGTGTGTCATTCGTTCAGTCGTTTTTCAAAATAAAACCAAAAATAAGAAAAGGAAAAAACTATTTAAAACAATTTTCTTCATTTGTTTGTCTCCAAAACCAAAATGAAAAAAAAAAAAAAAAAACAGATAAAGATTCAATTCTTCAGTTTTCGGTTTTGTGTTTAAATGGATAATGGACTCAACCAGGACTAAACCGGTTTCAGTCCTGGTCTGGTCCTGGTGTGGTCCCAATTTCAGTTCTGGTCTGGTTCTGGTCTGGTCCCGGACCTGGTTCAGTCCTGGTTCAGTCCATTATCCATTTTTTCCCCCATTTTTCATTTAAACACCAAATCAAAAACTGAAAAAAAAACGAATCATTATCTGTTTTTTCATTTTGGTTTTGGAGACAAATGCAAGAGGATTTTCGAGCTCTGAAGCCTCCGAGTCTCGTCAGTGGAGGGAAAGTGAGGTTAGAGAGTTTATTCATATTTGAGGGGATCGCTGTGTTCAGGATAAGTTGGAGGCGTCTTATCAGAACCGGGCGGTTTCTGAAATGATCTGATGAAAAGAAATGTCCGAGCGCAACTACAGACGGTCCTGACTCCAACGTCAACGAAAAAATAAAGAGCCAACGAGAAAATATAAGGAGGATAAAGACTCAAACAAAGGAAGCGGCCATGGACGTGTGACCTGGACATTTTCCCAACAACTGGACCGGATTTTTATGAGACGAGCCCAGAGTTTAGGCGACTTTGCTGCGTGTGACGTCGGGCGGGCGGGACACTCACCGAGCTGCAGGTCTCTGGGTTCCTCACGGCGCTGTAGGTCACGTCCTCGTCCTCGACCCTGAACTGCAACGACAAAAAAAACACCAGAATCACTCCACGTTTCTGGAACAATCCACCTTTTTCTATTGAGCCTGATGAAACTCACGCGAGGGTTCGAGTCCTTCTGTTTGAACTGGACTGAGGCGTAAGCCACGTCAGGGTCACGGACGACATCTGCAGGAGAAAAGACAAAGGTCAGGGTCAGTCTGCAGGAGAAAAGGACAAAGGACAGGGTCAGTCTGCAGGGAGAAAGAGACAAGGACAAAGGTCAGGGTCAGTCTGCAGGAGAAAAGACAAAGGACAAAAGGGTCAGTCTCAGGTGGACAAAGGTCAGGGTCTCTGCAGGAGAAAAGACAAAGGTCAGGGTCAGTCTGCAGGAGAAAAGACAAAGGACAAAAGGTCAGGGTCAGTCTGCAGGAGGAGAAAGAGACAAAGGTCAGGGTCAGTCTGCAGGACAAAGAAAGACAAAGGACAAAGGTCAGGGTCAGTCTGCAGGAGAAAGAGACAAAGGACAAAAGGGTCAGTCTAAGACAAAGGTCAGGGTCAGTCTGCAAAGGAAAAGGTCAAAGGACAAAGGTCAGGGTCAGTCTGCAGGAGAAAAGACAAAGGACAAAGGTCAGGGTCAGTCTAAGACAAAGGTCAGGGTCAGTCTGCAGGAGAAAAGACAAAGGACAAAGGTCAGGGTCAGTCTGCAGGAGAAAGGACAAAGGACAAAGGTCAGGGTCAGTCTGCAGGAGAAGAGACAAAGGACAAAGGTCAGGGTCAGTCTGCAGGAGAAGAGAAAGGTGCGTCCGTCGTCTTTTCCGACATCCCTTTATTGTGTAATATCTGAATTTCAGTTTTATCTGCAAATCTGCTTTTTGAGGAGACCAAACTCTTGCAGTTTCTGTTTCTCTAAAATGACTCTGTTCTGTCCAAAACAAGTTTTTCCCCTAAACTGAGCGACCCCCCCGGGCTCCAAGAACACATCTGGACTGTTTAGGTTTTTGCTCTGTTAAAGTAAAATGTTTAAGTTTAGTGGGACTGCCCATATCCCAAAGAGGCTTTAAATAAGAGAAGGTTGTTGTGTCCTGGGTTAGGGTTGGGCTTCCAAGTCCGTGAGTGAAGAACCCAGTGGACGTCTGTCAATGGCTACTGAACTCTGTGCTAAAAAATGGAAGTGTACACTGCAGAGTATCGTGTTGGATCATGTCATCACATCTCCACACCCGCGGGGCAACTCAAGGAGACTCAAAGGAAATAGGACAATTACGACGTGTCTCCATTCACACCTGCCGGTTTTCTGATATTGTTGTTAGTATCGTTATTCCGACACGTCTCTTGTTTTTGATAGTTGTGACTAAGAAATCCTCCCGAGTTTACAGAGAACATTTTGTATGTGGAGCGACAACAAAACAAAACCCCGATCCCTCGTTCAACCTCGGTTATGAATTTAAAAAATCAACGCCAAAGTGAAAGTCTCCAACTGTTCACCAAGAAACACCTTCCACTGCAAAGACCAAGACGTGATGTTTGTGTAAAACCACAAGAACAAGAAAGTGCAGCTCAGTCTGTTTGTCTTCTGCTCCTCTACATTAACAAACAGGATTTTGTTTTGTCGTGGCTCCACATACAAAATGTTCTCTGTAAACTCGGGATGATTTCTTACAGACAAATGTTTCCTTTTTGGTTCTTCCTGTGGATCAATCCTGCCCATCACCTTCACCTTTCACTATTTTTCAACGAAACAGTTTGAACATCTGATTCACTTTTGCATTTATGAAGTTCACAAACACATTTCTCGAGTCGTTTTCCGCTCACACAATTACGATGTCCGAATCCCAAAACTAAAATATGACAATATCAGAACCAGAAACAAAAGTGAAATGGTTCAAAAGACTTGAAAAGATCGACTTTGACAACAGACACGTCCCACTGGGAAAACAAACATGGAGGTTTGATCATCACTTTTTCAGTTTGGATTGTGTGATGACCTGAAGTCTGAGATTCTTGATGCATGTTTAAGTGTTGTACTTCATAAAAAACTCTCACATTAACATTATTCATGTTGGAAAAGAGGAATGTTTGAACAATAATAAAGTGTCACTGTGGAAAGTCCCTGTGCTCGATGTTCACCACAGTTTTACAAAAGTCAAGTCACAGTTTAAGAAGAAAAATAAATAAAAATAAAACAGTCAAATAGAGGAAGTCACGCTGAGTTTAAAACAGGATCCCACAGTTTATGTCATCACAGGAAATCCAGAATCTAAAACACTCAGATACTTTACTTTTCTGACATTTAAACCTTCATTTCTAAAGAAAACTTTTCTTTTATTCTGCGTCACACCAAGAACTTCAACGTCTGGAGTCAAATCTGAAATCTAAACATGTTCAACTCTGAGAAAACCAAGAAAAGGCAGAAGGTTTTAAAACTGAGGTTTGATTTGTTTTTTTCTTAAATGCTGCACCTGTTTTGTTTTTCAAAAAGCATTTTCAGCATCAACATGCACCTGTCACACACCTGCACACATGCACCTGTCACTGCACCTGTCACATGCACCTGTCACACGCACCTGTCACATGCACCTGTCACACGCACCTGTCACATTCAATAAAAATGTGATCTGTTTTACTCACAGTGTCTCCGTCTGTGACTCCGCCTCCTGAAAAACAAAAACACCAGGTCCAGTTACAGGTCGGATCTGTGGAGAGGCGAGCTCCACTCACAGTAAGAAGCAGCAAGATATTTTGGAAATATTTCTCAAAACAAATCTGACACCAATATTAAAGCATTGTAATGTCCGATAATCAGGAAGTTTGTGTTAGCATGCTAGTTGTGGTTAACATGACTGTGACAATAATCAGGACCCAAACTCTAACTGCAAACTGAGTTTTAATGACTCTGTGTTGCTCGAGGTCAGGGGTCAGCTGCCTGCGGCTCCAGAGCCACATGTGGCTCTTTCATCTTTCTGTTGTGGCTCCTGTGACTTTGGAAAAGAAATAATGAGAATTTAATCACGATGTGTTTTTATTTGAATTAGTTTGATTTTAAATGTAATTCTACATTTGTAGATGATGTTAAACTTTCATCCATTCATCCTGTGGGACCTGAGGTCTTCAAAGTCCAGTCCAGAGACATCGTCCCTCCAGGAGGACAACATCAGAACAGACGTCCTCCCCTCAGACGCTCCTCTCCACGTGGAGGAGCAGCGGCTCTACTCCGAGCTCCAACCTCTGTCTCTAAGGGAGACGCCCGGACGCCCTGCGGAGGAAACTCATCTGTGTCTCTTGTGTCGTGGATCTGGTCCTTCGGGTCATGACCAGAGGTGAGGGGAGGAACATGATGATAAATCCAGAGCTTTGTCTTTGGGCTCAGCTCTCAAGTGGAAGAGTTCAAGTATAATTCTAATCTTGTAATATTAAACTAAAACATTTTAAATCGTTTTGTCGCTCAAACTCTGCGTCAGATCCGTCGATGTGCGACAGCGACACAGATCTGCAGCCGGACTCACCGACTCCTGCAGCAGCAACAACTTTTACTCAACTTTTACTCCTGGTACATGAATGATCCAAGATGATCCAAGAACTTTGCACATTTATACACTTTGTGAAGTGAAATAGTCTTTTTTAAATCCAGGTTGAAGACTGACTGCAGCACACAAGTGTGACGGACACAGAAGCAGATGTGGTTTTGGTTCACTGCAGGTGGAGAATTTAAGTTTGGATTTTTATTTCCTACGAAGAGAAAACAAATAGTCACTGAGTGTTTCATTTGAATAAAGCCTCAACCGTTTTCTTATTCGGAGTTTGAAATGTTTTTGTTACGTGCAGAAATAAAATTCTGTTTTCTCTGTAACAGTTTGGTTGATTTCATAATGAAACACTCGAGTCTTTTACACGGAGCCACAGGGAAATAAACCACCTGCAGTTTTCTCCTCGTTTTAGACTCAAAAGGTTTTGTGGTGTTTTTCTTTTCTGTCTTTAAGGTTTCTGACCCCTGATCTAGAGCGACCAGCGTCCCCTTTGACCCCGGACAGTCCCAGTTTTGACCTCGTGTCCTCTGTCCCCGCTCATTTATCCAGTTTTATACCAGAAACGTCTCTGTTTTTGACCAGTGTGATCCCAGCAACAGTAAAAAGGACGTTTGTTTGGCCAAAACACAGAAAAACTCTTGAAAACGACCATAAGCTTCTTCTTCCGTCGTGATTTTGTGCTTTTCCTGCGTTTGTCTCACCTGAGAGTTTCCTCCACAGAACGAGAGCCACACAGATGAGCAGAAGAGCCACACACACGACCACGGGGACGACGACCGACACCAGCACTGCACAGGAACCAAAAACTAGGGATTATTTTAAAGATCTGAGCAAACAACGCTTGAGAATCTGCAGTGTTTAGTACAGCGAGTGAAGGGTGAAGGAGAGTTAGTCTGGTCCTGGACTTTCACTTGTGTTGAAATATCAGTGGAAAAAGTTGGAGCAGCAGTAGCAGAAGTAGAAGTACCAGGTCTTGAGGTTGTGGGAGGTTCAGTAGTTTTCTCATCTAAGTAGAAATAAAAGAAATAAAACACTGAAATTACTGACGTGAGCGAGACGTGAGGAGGACAGAAAATATGTCTGTAATAATAAAATAACATTAGTGTTCAGAAACGCCGTGGGATTTTTAAAAAGCAGCTGTTTTGGATTTTGTTTGGCTCTCAGACTCAGGACGACCAGATTTTCAAAATAAAAAACTGGGATACTCTCGGTTTGGGATGAAAACTGTGAAACGATTTGTGCAGAATGAAGGAAAACTGTTCTGCACTCGACTCGTTCAAGCTCAAATCTGCAGCTTCAGCTCAGGTTCAAGTTCAGGTTCAGGTTCAGTTCAGGTTCAGCTTCAGGTGGATCCGTGCACCGTGTGGACGGAAACAGACACACGAGACCAAACAAACTCACCTTTTGACTTTGAAACTACGACTCAAAAATCTGGAGTCACAGTCCAGACGGTTTGTGGACTGGACTCTACAGTCTGGGAATTCTGGTCGTTGTGAAAAAAATCTCTGCAAAGTGAATTAGAGTCAATGGAGCCAAATCACACTCGTGTTCACTTCCTGTTTTAAACGTGGCGACTAAAGGGCTGAACATGTCCACACCTCCACACCTCCTCCACACCTCCACACCTCCTCCACACCTCCTCCACACCTCCACACCTCACACCTCCACACCTCCACACCTCCACACCTCCTCACACCTCCTCCACACCTCCACACCTCACACCTCCACACCTCCTCCACACCTCCTCCACCTCCTCCACACCTCCTCCACACCTCCACACTCCTCCACACCTCCTCCACACCTCCACACCTCCTCCACACCTCCTCCACACCTCCACACCTCCACACCTCCACACCTCCACACCTCCTCCACACCTCCTCCACACCTCCACACCTCCTCCACACCTCCTCCACACCTCCTCCACACCTCCTCCACACCTCCACACCTCCACACCTCCACACCTCCTCCACACCTCCTCCACACCTCCACACCTCCACACCTCCTCCACACCTCCACACCTCCACACCTCCACACCTCCACACTCCTCCACACCTCCACACCCTCCACCTCACACCTCCTCCACACCTCTCCACACCTCCACACCTCCACACCTCCACACCTCCACACCTCCTCCACACCTCCTCCACACCTCCTCCACACCTCCACACCTCCACACCTCCACACCTCCTCCACACCTCCACACCTCCACACCTCCACACCTCCACACCCTCCTCCACACCTCCCCACACCTCCTCCACACCTCCTCCACACCTCCACACCTCCTCCACACCTCCTCCACACCTCCTCCACCTCCTCCACACTCCTCCACACCTCCCACCTCCTCCACACCTCCACACCTCCTCCACACCTCCACACTCCTCCACACCTCCTCCACACCTCCTCCACACCTCCTCCACACCTCCTCCTCCACACCTCCTCCACACCTCCACCCTCCTCCACACCTCCACACCTCCTCCACACCTCCTCCACACCTCCTCCACCTCCTCCACACCTCCACACCTCCTCCACTCCTCCCACACCTCCTCCTCCACACCTCCTCCACCTCCTCCACACCTCCACCTCCTCCACACCTCCACCTCCTCCACACCTCCTCCACACCTCCACACCTCCTCCACACCTCCACACCTCCACACCTCCTCCACACCTCCTCCACACCTCTCCTCACACTCCACACTCCTCCACACCTCCTCCACACCTCCACACCTCCTCCACACCTCCACACCTCCACACCTCCACACCTCCACACCTCCACACCTCCTCCACACCTCCTCCACACCTCCTCCACACCTCCTCCACACCTCCTCCACACCTCCCTCCCACACCTCTCCACACCTCCTCCACACCTCCTCCACACCTCCACCCTCCACACCTCCACACCTCCACACCTCCTCCACACCTCCTCCACACCTCCTCCACACCTCCACACCTCCTCCAACACCTCCTCCACACCTCCTCCACACCTCCTCCACACCTCCTCCACACCTCCACACCCTCCTCCACACCTCCACACCTCCTCCACACCTCCACACCTCCTCCACACCTCCCACACCACACCTCCACACCTCCACACCTCCTCCACACCTCCTCCACACCTCCTCACACCACACCTCCACACCTCCTCCACACCTCCACACCTCCTCCACACTCCTCCACACCTCCTCCACACCTCCCACACCTCCTCCACACCTCCACACCTCCTCCACACCTCCTCCACACACCTCCACACCTCCTCCACACCTCCACACCTCCTCCACACCTCCTCCACACCTCCTCCACCACACCTCCACACCTCCTCCACACTCCTCCACACCTCCTCCACACCTCCACACCTCCACACCTCCACACTCCACACCTCCTCCACACCTCCTCCACCTCCCACCTCCACACCTCCTCCACACCTCCTCCACACCCTCCTCCACACCTCCACACCTCCTCCACACCTCCTCCACACCTCCTCCACACCTCCACACCTCCTCCACACCTCCTCCACACCTCCTCCACACCTCCTCCACACCTCCTCCACACACCTCCACACCTCCTCCACACCTCCCACCTCCTCCACACCTCCACACCTCCTCCACACCTCCTCCACACCTCCTCCACACCTCCACACCTCCTCCACACCTCCTCCACACCTCCACACCTCCTCCACACCTCCTCCACACCTCCTCCACACCTCCACACCTCCTCCACCTCCACACCTCCACACCTCCACACCTCCACACCTCCACACCTCCACACCTCCTCCACACCTCCTCCACGTCTCGGCTCTAACCACGAGTGTAAAGTCATGAAGTACAGACTCAACAAATAATACAGACAAATAACAGGAACAAGATAAAACACATGAGACACGATAAGGAACTATAAAAGTCTCTTCTGCTCTAGTTCTCTCTCATCTGGAGATGACCAGGCCCTGTCTGCACCTGTCTGCACCTGTCTGCACCTGTCAGTGTGACTCAGCACCTGTCAGACTGGTGTCAGTGTGAATGTGCTGATCTGGGATCTGTTCTCACCTGGAGGTCGAGGGACGAAGGTGAAGATCTGTGTCGGGTAATTCTGTTTAACTTCACATTTCAGAGTTTGATAAAACTCAGACGGAGGAGACGGATCATTAAAGGAGACAGACAAATCACACCAAGAGTCAGAGCGAGAGATCTTCAGATCTTTATGATCTGTGGTCACTTCTTCATTGTTGTTGAACCATTTGAAATCATGTTGGCATTTTCCAGGTGAAGCCACAGAGCAGTTGAACGTCACTCTGTCATTTTCCACTCGCTGAGACACTGAGGACAAAACACAGAAACAAATGTGATTTTAACAAAAAACACAAAACAAAAAATTGGAATCTAAACCTTCTGCAGCATAAAAACTGAAATAAACATGAACCAGAAACTGGACCTGAACAGAACCACGACTGTCAGAGCAGCTGAGAGCAAAAGAACTACTGTCCATTTAAAACATCTGTTTTACTATTTATTATTATTGTTCTGTTCAAATCAAATATCAAATCTTGATGACAACTCTTAAAACAGATTAAAAATATTAAAAACACTCACAGGAGGCGACATACAGGAGAATATGGTGCTTTTCTTTCTCGTTCTGTTTACACTTGTATGTTCCCCTCTGATCCTTTGTGACTCTTGGCAGGTGCAGGGAGCAGTCTGACAGGAGCGTCCCTGCACCTTCTCCTGTCGTCTGTCCTCGTCTGAACAGATCTGTGGTGGTTCTGAAGTCTTTTCTGTAGATCCAGTCTGTGGATTCACACTGAGTTCGAGTCTCTTCTCCACACGACAAAATGACGTCTTCTTCTTCTTTCACCGTCTGATCCATGAACTCTGCGTTTGACACTGAAAAACAACACTGGGTTTAGTGTAAAAGATCTGAAATCAGAATTGTCACATCAGATAAAACTGTGAGATTTCAGTAAAACTAAACTGAGCCAGTGTCCTGACAGGTGCAGATGACAGGTGCATATGACAGGTGCATATGACAGGTGTTCATGTTTCTCTAATTCAGTACTGGTTTGGAGAGTCCCACTGGTCAATATTTTTATATATAGTTTTATGTTTACTAGTACTAGTAGGTCTCTGTATTTATCGAGTGTTAAAAACCCGGGACATGATCAAATTGTTAAAATGTAAATAGATTTAAAATAAATTATATTACTGAAAATGATGAAAAACACAAACTGATCTAAAAATAAACAACAGGACTTTTTTTTTCTTAAAGTTTTGAAGAATTTCCCTGATACAGCTTTAACTCTCAACTCTGAAACCAATTTTTAAACTAAAACACTAAAGAAACTGAATAAAACTTAAGCATGTTGGTGCTTTCCCTCTTTTCATTTAAGTTTTAATTTTAACTTTGTATGCCAAAGCAAAAAAAACCCCAAAAAAACAAAATCACACTAACAACATTTATCTATCTTTCATATATTTACTGTCCAGATGCATTTTGAATTATTATTAATGAATCGACCAAAGCTCATTTCCTTTTTTATGCAACTAAGCAAATAGTTTTATTTGTGAAGTAAATAATACAAATAAAACTGTAAAATAAATGCAGATGTTTGAATGAAAAGTTTCATGTTACAACAAATCACACTTTTGTTCAAAACGACGTTTTAACGTTTTACCAAGAGACACTGATGAAATAAACTTTTATTTAAGACATTAAAAGTTCTTTTGTGAAAATACTTTTATATGTTCAGGCCAAAACTTTTAAAATGATGTTAAGGACTTTTTATCAGTTTTTATAATTTGTGCAAACAGAAGTTTTCACTGATTCTACATGTGACTCGAGTCACTGAACGACATTTAAAACTTTAAACCTGGAATTTTCTTTTTCCAAATGTGTCCAAATGTAAAACTACAGTGAAATAAAACAAAAACATTTCAACTGTTCAAATCTTTTTACATTAAGAACTAGAAAAGTTTTGGCTTCTGAACACAAATATACAAACGACACGTCACAGACACACACACCTGCACATGCACCTGACAGCGGCAGGAGGAGCAGACAGGGACTCACCTGACAGCGGCAGGAGGAGCAGGAGCAGCAGACGAGTCCTGGACGTGACCATCTCTGCTCCTTTTCTCTGTTCACAAACTCAAACTGTTTCTCAAGTCTTAAAAGAAACATCCACTTCCCTCAAATCACTTCCTCAAAAACGATAAAAACATCAGAATATTTGCAGAAAACAGCTGCTGCTCCTCACCAACTCGCACACTCACTGTTTTTACCACAAACTCTACTTTTCTGCTCTAAGGTAAAAGTCGTCTTAATAATCATCTTAATCATCATAATAATCATCATGAAGTTCTTTGGAAACATTTAAATATAGAAAAAAGGAAGTGACTGAAAGTTTAAATGCAGCTGCTCCTTTCTGCACATTTTTATCAATCGATCCTTTTTAAGTTTCCATTTCTCATTAAACGGGAAACTTAACGTCTAATTATGTTTTTTGTGACGATTCTTTTGTTTCAGACAAAAGTGTCGATCAAAAAAAGCAAATGTTCTGTTCCAAACCCCGACCCACACAGACGTTTTACAGATGAAGTAATGACAAAAAGTTTTTAGAATGAAGCAACGTGAGATGAGTCAAAGATGAGGAAGAAGATTTTCTGTAAACTCAAAATATTAAACGGAAAAAGTGAACGAGCCGCCACACAACAAATACACAAGTCTACAAATACAAATACACAAGTGTACAAATACAAATACACAAGTGTACAAATACAAATACACAAGTGTACAGATACAAATACACAAGTGTACAGATACAAATACACAAGTGTACAAATACAAATACAAATACACAAGTGTACTACAAATACAAATACACAAGTGTACAAATACAAATACACAAGTGTACAAATACAAATACACAAGTGTACAAATACAAATACACAAGTGTACAAATACAAATACACAAGTGTACAGATACAAATACACAAGTGTACAAATACAAATACACAAGTCTACAAATACAAATACAAATACACAAGTGCAAATACAAATACACAAGTGTACTACTCCAAATACAAATACACAAGTCTACAAATACAAATACAAATACACAAGTCTACAAATACAAATACACAAGTGTACAAATACAAATACACAAGTGTACAGATACAAATACACAAGTGTACAGATACAAATACACAAGTGTACAAATACAAATACACAAGTCTACAAATACAAATACAAATACACACAAGTACACATACAAATACAAATACAAAAATACAAATACACAAGTTACAAATAATACAAATACACAAGTGTACAAATACAAATACAATACAAGTACAAATACAAATACACAAGTGTACAATACAAATACAAATACACAATACAAATACAAATACACACGCAAATACAAATACAAATACACAAGTCTACAAATACAAATACACAAGTATACAAATACAAATACACAAGTGTACAAATACAATACACAAGTACAAATACAAATACAAATACAAATACAAATACAAATACACAAGTGTACAAATACAAATACAAATACACAAGTCTACAAATACAAATACACAAGTCTACAAATACAAATACAAATACACAAGTGTACAGATACAAATACACAAGTGTACAAATACAAATACACAAGTGTACAAATACAAATACAAATACACAAGTCTACAAATACAAATACACAAGTGTACACAATACAAATACAAATACACAATACACAAGTACAAATACAAATACAATACACAAGTGTACAAATACAAATACACAAGTGTACTACAAATACAAATACACAAGTGTACAAATACAAATACACAAGTACAAATA